TCTCCATATTGCTTTCATTCCGGCAACCTGCGTCTGTTTGCTCTATTTACTCGATCTTCTACTTCTGTTTCGAGCTTTCCGTAGCTAGATAATGTGATACTTAGATATTTAAACTTCGTCACTTGTCCTATTATCTGACCTTTCAGCTCCAAGTTCCATCTTAGTAAATTTTCTGTTATAACCATGCATTTTGTATTTTTTTGGGCAAATTAATTTTTCTGGCGGTTATATTAAATTGGTGCAAGCATACGTTGTTAATAACATTAACCTTGAGAGACGGTACGGCGTCGCCTGCAAAGCAGAATATTTTAAGCTGTTTTTCTCTTATTTGGTATCCTTTTTTGTTCTTTCTTTTTTTATTATTTTATCGATAATAGGGTTGAACAATAGAGGACTCAGACAATCTTCCTGCCTTATCACGTTTCCAGCTTCAATAGTTAGTTTTTCTTCTACTTTTAGTTTTATTGTGTTGTTTTGATATATATTTTGATTGTTTTGATTATTCCTTGAGATAACTCGCTTGTTTACAATGAGTGGACAATATCCTTTAACTTGACTTGATCAAATGCCTTCTTAAGGTTCATGAGACATAGATATGCCGGTTCGTTGTTTTCTAATGATTTTTCTTGCACTTGCATCATTACAAATATAGCGTCGGGGCATGATCTTCCCGACCTAAAACCTATTCTTGTTCTTCTGCTACTGTTAATGTACAAACTCATATTGATATATTAGTGATGCCAAGTCTTAACAAATATTACTTAAATTATTTGTTAATATAATGATTGACAAAGTTGAAGTATCACACACTTTCGGTCTACAAAAAGATTTTAATTCCATGAATCATATTTAAGACATATTGGAAAGAAGTGTTTTGCTCGAAACAAATGGACAAGGTATTTAAACTAAAAGCAGTGTAATCAGTCCAGCATCAACATCAAAAATAATACGATCACATGAAAATACAAAATTAAAACCATCTGCAAACTGTATCTAGTGTGTAAGAAATTTTTTATGCAAATATAAACAAGAAAGATGGAAATAAGGATGTAAATATCACATAAGAAACCGACGAAACATTGTCCTATCAGTTTGCTTTATAAAAAGACTGGGGGCTAAGTTAGACTTCTATCAACACTGATAACCAGCTGGATTTAGATCGGGATACAGCACTAAGGGCCATTTACTAGTGATAAAGAACCTTATAGGGAAGTCTTCAGAATACAACAAACCATTGACACTGATAATTGTGGATTGCGAGAAAGCATTCGATACTATAAGCTAGTAGAAATGCTAAAAGCATAAATCATCGCTACACTAACATATTCCAGCATATCTACTAAAATCCCACGACTAGCGAAAGACTATCCAAACAAGAAACAAATAAATTCTGTATACAGTGAGTAGTACCTTCGGCAAGCAGACACCATCTCTCCAAAGCTATTCACGGCACTTTTGGGACATACTTATAAAAAGGCAGATCTGAACGAATATGATATCAACATAAATGGGGAGACGCTCAATCATTTGAAATTCACAAATAAAATCGTCTGATTATATGGTGATGCATTATTACATGAGTATAATATTGTTGTTGATGGAAAGAATATTCAGCAGACAGCGTCAGCGTCTTAGCAGACCTAGGACATGAAACTCGTTTGAACAGAGATAACCAGATATGTGAGCTTTTACGTCACATAGAAATAACCTGAACAGCGTTTGGTAAATTAAATCGGACTTACCCATACCTACACTTCAAAAGGAAAACCTTTATGTGGTACCTATACTTACTTACAGAGCAGAAATATAAACACTAACAAAAAATGGTAACTAGTAAACAAGAATCGCGCCAGAGAGACCAAATCCCAAACGAAGAAATACGTCGTAGAACAAAAAAAGACGCCATCGAAAGAATGACATTGATAAAATAAAATTGGGTAGGACATGTCGCCATATTATCTAACAACCGATGGACAAGGCCAATGTCGAGTGGAGGGCAAGACAAGAAGCACTATGGAGCAGATGAGCTGACGACCTGAAACGTGTAAGCAGTAACTGGATGCAAATCTCACAAGACAGAGATAGATGGAAAGAGCTGAGGGAGACCTATAACCAGCAGTGGACGCGTACAAGTTGAGGACTATGACACCATAAGAACGAAAATAGTTATTGACAATCATTTATTAGAACAAAAGTCATCAAGTTCAAGTTCCAAGTACGTTTCGAGAAAGATATTCTAAATAATTTACAGTGCATTGAAAGTTGAAATACATTGAATAACAAAACAAGAAACCCTGTATAAACCTTACAAGACAATGGTCACATCTACTAACGCAAAGATAATTCGAGAATCCAAGCTAGAGAAATGAGATTTCTCAAAAAATTTCCAAATAAAATGGAATCAACCAATAAATAGAACAAATTAAGATTCACTAACTAAGCAAATACCAAACCGCAAGCCCAAAAAACAAGTGTGGAAATCTTCTCCTTGGAAATCTGAAGTAAAATTTTGATGTCAAAAGAACCAACAAATGTTTAAACCCTGATATGAAAAAGAAAAACAGAAACATAGAAGATACGGAACCCATATAAAGGTAAGCAAAACCTAATATTCAACAACATAAGACAACTGGAGATCAACAAATGAGGATAAATCAACTTTATACACATTTGGTACACACTTAAAATATTTAGAATTCATAATATCAAGCAGGAGCAACAACTGAGGAAGATATAAATAATAAACTATGACAAACTTGAGGCTATGTAAAATTGTTGAACTAAATGTTGTGGAAGAAAACCATTACAATAAAAACGAAAATGAAAATATATAACACAATAACACGAAGTACCTATACGACTTATGCGCCCCAAGACTGGATAATAAACAGGTAAAACGAAGGCAAAACAAGGAAAAAATTGTTGGAATTACCAAGAAGGTATAGAAGTCAAGTCAACTCCAATATAATCGATTCTTTAAAGTAAAAAAAGACTAATCTTGCGTGGACAAGTTAGAAGAGTCGACCCATTGTTCAGAACCTTCTCATTGAATCATAGGAAGAAGAAAAACAGAAAAATCCAGAAGATTATGTATAGACGAGATAAACGAGGATGGAAACAAAAATCTGCAAAATTGAGGTAGGTATGGCAGGATGAAAAGGGCTAGAGAGAATAGCGAAACGAAGCGAAGGAATACAGTAAAAAGTATGAAAAATCCTAGTAAAAGTAATATAAATCTGAGCGTCCAAGCCAAAAGATTCTAATCTTTACGGGATTTCTGCTACTGTCACTATTCTGATTACTATTCACTCGCGATTTACATCTTTCTCGGTGGTTCCACGTGGTTTTGATTTTGGTTTTTTTATATGCTTATTTATCTTCTCCACAGCTTTTAACAGTGTTCACGACTTAACACCGTACAATAAAACAAAATAAATATAACATAAATTAGGTACACGTTCCTTAATTGCAGTATTAGTTCTTTACTACACAGCCCTGTCCCTTTCGATGCTACATATTATTTCCCTGAAAAATCCCATGGAATTCTTGGAACGTTTTGGTGTTTTTTTAAACATCATTTTATTCTCTATGCTGACATTGTATTATACTATTAGGTATATTTAATTTTTTACTCTATGGAAAAAATTTTAAATTTAGATGCACCCATAGAATGTGGATCTACATTTTATAATAGAGATACAATGAATATTATTACCAAATAATATTCAATTTAGTATGCATTCTACTGATATTCAATAATACTGAAAAAATTAATTTCGATAATATTTTTGTATTTTATGAAATATGTAATATTTCGTTAATTTGTGAGTCTTGGTTAAAAACAGTAGTTCAAAACAGCACCAGGAGAAACCAACAACTTGATGGAGCAACTATTGAATCTTATAAATTTAAATCATTTATTTGAGAAGTAAAAATAAAAATCCAAAACAAAATATATCTACCAATATTTAAATTGTTTCTTTTTCTTGTTAGGTAGGTATATAATGCTTTCTACCTTGACATTTTTTGTTATATTTTAGAGCACTTTTGTGTAGCCAGTCTCGCATTAGAATCAGTTTTGATTTAATCTGTTAGATTTTACCACTGTTTGTAAGCCGGTGTGTTTTAAATCCTTTTAAATCGATCTTGTCAATTTACATAATATTTACCAACTTGCAAAATATATAATAAATATCTTCTACAACCAAAAACGCAGCAAAAAAATATAAAAATATATAAGCAAAGAATTATTGCTAGAGGAACCAAAATAATTGAAAGTTTGACAAAAATATACGCATGATATTTATTTTAAAAATAACAAAGCGAGAAATAACTTGACATGGAAAAATATCCAAAAACATATAACATAAAAAGATACAATAGAATAGAACAAAAATAATTTAATCAACCGAAACTACATAAACTCACAAAAATATTCAAATTTGAAAATGAGAAAAACTGCTTATTATTGCAAATGTGCTACTTTTTTAGTAATAGGCTTATATAAGGAAGGATATTGTCAGTTATAATAAATAACAACAGAATTATTGTTTTTGTACTATTTTCATAGTAATGAAATACAATGCATTAAATTAAATAAATCTAGCACTTACAAAAAACTATTTTTTAATTTGTTCTTCAATAACCTAATACCAAGGTACTGATTCCACTCTATGCATGCACAGACAGCAAACATTTTGCAAAAAGAAACAAATGTATATTAGCGGAGATGATGGTTTAAAAGTATTAAAACATTTTAAAATAGACAATCCTAAAAGAGATTTTAAATGGAAGGCTGCCTAATTGGCGGCAGAATTTGCTCATTTATAGACCCCGGTAGCAACGGGTGCAAAGTAATTTTCGAAATTATTGATGCTAATAAAGCTTTACGTTTAGTTTTCTATTAAAAACATAATATTGTGGACTTACCTCCTGGAAACCTATGTGGGAATATTCTCCCATGCCTCGACAACAGCCAGGGATACAACGGGTAACTGTCTCTAGGCTGCGCGTGCTGTGCCAACGGCGAAGGCTTGTCCTGGAAAACCATGCTGGCCGCTGCTTAATGCTGCAGCCAAAGCCGCTCCCTGAAAATGGGCAGCCAAGGCGAACGGATGCTGTCCATGGTTGTGCATCATTTCTGGTTGTAAGAAACCATTTTTTGGTACCAAGTTGGGATCGTACGTAGGGTTAGGCCGCACTAGCGTGTGTGCTGGTATACCTGGTACCATTATAGGAGGTTTGGGAGAGATAGGCGGAGATCTTTGAGGAGAGCTGGTGTATTGCTTGGGTGAACCATTAAGTCTATTTTCAGCGTCACTACTGGGCGAAAGAGGTGCGGAACTTTCAGAGTAATGGAGAGGCGAATGTTGCGGACTGGCTTGATGTGCTCCGCCGACTATTGAGTCTATCGAAAAACCTATTTTCGGCTTCGAAGGCACAGCAACTATAGGAGTAGGTGCCAGAGGCATCATGGTTGGGTTTAAGCACTTAAATAAAGGCAAACTCTGTAGCGCTAACATTGATTCTTCCGGATATTTGGACAACGCGATTTTCTTAACACCATTGTCACTAGTTTCAACACTAAAACACGATCCGTCGGATAATAGAAAATTGCAAGTCACTTACACTTTTGTTTTTTATTAACAGTTTGCGTTACAATAGTTATATTCGAAAGAATTATCACTTTACACTCGTTTCCACAGTTCGTTTTTTAAAATGTGGTGAGCGATAATGACTGATTTAAAAACGTCGCTGCTGCTACCACTTACAAATCTCGTGAGTTAATAACTGGTATAAACGTTGTTGAAGAGTTTAGCTGGGTGGGGGAGTAAGTAGGGTGTAGAGGACTAAGGATTGGTTTACGGCGTTCAATCCCAGCGATAGAAAGCCGGCTCCTTATTGGCGGATACAAGCGATGCAAATGGAATTAGGTTCTTCGTAAACGCCCCTTATTTGCACGGTGAAAAACCCGTTTAGAGAGCGATAAATGCAGCGATATTACACTTATGGCATAGTTAGCGTTAAAACAAACAGGTTATTCGTTAAGACTTTTTTACGGATCAAGACGGCCGGTTGACAGTCGCATATTTGTTTTTGAAATTATCGACTGGGTAACGCCTTTGCATGCGCGCGCTGTGAGTGAGGCGGAGCTCAATGTCATTTAGTTCTAGTAATTGAGGTGTCAGCCGAGTTTTAGTCACTGTTTTTATTGTAGTACCCACTCGGACATTTTATGTAATTATAATTTTTTGTTGGAAGAATTAATTGGTTTATTTAGCGTCAGGTTTTCAGACGATTGAATAATCGATATAATGACTGAGAGTTATTAAATTAGTTAGATTCCAGGTATATTTGACGTTAAAATTATTTAAGTTTTTCGTTAGTTTTTATAGCTTTTTTAATTTAACGTGGATATATATGTGTACCTACTTAGTAGTATATTAATATTGGAAATCATTCCAATTTGTATGCAATACTAGAATCTATGTATAGAAATCAGTAGCAACTAAATATACGTTGCCTATTTTAGGATTAAATATATACCCACTGTATTTTGCTCTTTTTGTGATAGTTTTTTACACGGTCTTATGGGACTTTCTGGATTTATTTTCCCATCTCATTAGATTATTTTTTAAATACTTATTTCATTTCTTTTAATTTTTTTTCTTTTTACTTATTCTATATGAAGCCTACATGGCAAAAACGATGTAGGTCACTTTTATTCATTTTGTATAAAAGCTAATTTTAAAGTTCAAAGACTAATTTTAAAATGTTCAATATAAATTTTAGTTCAAATTGTTTTTCAATGGGCATATAATTTATCGGTGAAAACGATAAAAATATTCTTAGAACGTTATGTTTTTTCAATTTTTTTTTATTTTTGATGATTTCATGGAAAATACACAAAAAAATGACAAAAACGGAATATGTCATTGAAACAATAACCAAAAACGCAAGTCGAAAATAAAATTATGTAACTACCACTACTAAACATAGCAATAATTGTCTTTTTTGTATTATTTTTTTAGCACATTTTTTTCAGTAGCGAAGCTTGATGAAAAATTTTGGGTAGACAATTTTAAAGGAGTAATCCTTATTTCAGGAATGAGGAAAATAAAACAGAATATTTTTTAAATATTTTATTTTTATAAACAAGTAAACACAACAAAACATCTAGACATTTTTTAAAACAAAAAATAAACTTAACTAGGTATAATGTTTATTCGCTAAACAATAAATATTAAATTTTGTTATAGGTAGGTATATTAAGTCAATTTTTCTATTTTTATTATTAGCAAAATAGTCAATAATTTGTTTTTTCATTTCTCTAGTAACTGAGTGCACCATATCCTTTTCAATGCTTAAAGTGGATAATGAGGAAAGTCTTTCAGTAGTAATTGAATTCCGCAAATATATTTTTAAAAGTGCTCATAGATCTTTCAGATGGGGCTGTTGTTATAGGAATGGTCAAAAATAGTTTTAGTAACTTACATCAGAAAATACTTTTGTTAACTCGTTGTCAAAAATATATCAAAAAAGATGGTAAGGTTCTAAATGTTTTTGTTTATCAGAATAAAGTACAATCAACTCGTTTTCTAATTTTCTCATATCAAAAGTTTCAGGATATACTTTATCTAGACTAGACTAGGATATAACTAAGAGATTTTTTGGAAATTGTTTAATATAATTTACGAAACTGTTTTTGTTTAGTAAGTTGACGAAAGAGAGTAAATGGGTGTCTTTGAATCTTTGTTGTAATTGCGTACAGATTGTATCCAGTATTTCAAAACCCATTGTTTTAAAATTTTTTTCTGTGTTGAACATCAAGAGTTGTTTGAAGTATATTGGTGTACTTACGCATACGTCAATTGTATTGTCATTTCTCAGATTTTTAATATTTTGTCATTTATGTATTCTCGACACATAAGCCTACATCGACAGAAATTGTTGACTGCAAAATCAAAGAGAGGTGCACTATATGTTTGGCATATAATTTATCATTTTTTATCTCGTTGGAATGTAAAACGTGAATAATTTTTTCTGCAAGACCATTTGCTGTTTTATCACTAGACACGTCATAAAATCCCATAAATTGTTCACATATGTCTTTTTTGTACACATACCTTAATATTACACTAAACTGAGATTTGCAGGATACATCAGTTTTTTCATCAGCCTGAACAGATATAAAGTCCGCTTCTTGCAAATCTTTAAAACTTTTCTGTCTGATAATACATTCCACCGATTCTATCAACTGATTTTGAATTTCGCTGGATGTGCCTTTAAAAATGTTACTGGCTTCTAAGTGATCACGCATATTATATTCTTCCAGAGCAAGTAGATCTAACAGTTCAAAATAATTTCCTACAAATATATCAAATATAGTTCATGAAAATTCTAGAGTTGAGAGTATTTTATAATAAAATATATTTTTGCAATAGTAATGTGATTAAAATTTAGTAACCTTCTAGTAACCTTTATTTTTTGATGTACCAGTTTCATCATGTCCTCGTAAAGCTAATTCTTGACAAGCAACAAACGAACTACATCTGTTAAACGACCGACAATTTTGCGATTTTTAACAACACGCTCGTTGTGACGTTGAGCATCAATTTTTTTTCCGTGGTCAATTGCATAATCTATTCGAACTTTTCCCAACAAATGGAACATTTCATGCGACGAAATATGATTTTTTAAGGTAGCGTGTCTGCTAGCTTTGTCCACAAAATTTTTTATAGTATCTATTCCTCTTCCAGTCCAAGATGAATCGTCTCCAAATAACAGACAAGGAAAACAATATAATTTATTTTCAGTTTCGCTGCCGCAAAGCCATGTAAACTTCTCGTACCATTTATGATTGAAATGTCTTTTTGTTTTTCTATCTTTTTGTGATAAACTTAATTTAGGTCGTTTTTGACTATTTTTTCAATTTAATTTTATCTTCTAAGTTAAGCGCCGAAAACAAATTAATTCTCTTTTAAAAACACGACGGGGTCGAAATCAACTGAATCCATGATAAACTATTTAAAAAAGGAAATAGATCTATTGAACGCTCTTAAATCACCTGTCCGAAACGAGTAAAAAAAATTAAATAAGATTTCCACAAGTCCTCATAGCATTAAGAGCGTAGGCGCAAAATTTCGGGCCAATGCTTTTTAAATGCATTCATTTTTTTCGAATCCTGAAAAAACTATTAAATATTTTTGAAAAATTAAACGCAGAGTAAAAGATTACATTATTACCGAGGGCCGAAAGTCCATTAGAATAAACAAAAAGTTTTTTTGAATGAGATATTTGAAATTAAAAATCACATTTAATTTTCTCTTCTTTTTCACCCTGTAACTTACTAAAATAAACATAGCAGTTTTCAGGGACTTTCGACTCTTAGTAATAATTTAATCTTTATTCTGCGTTTAAATTTTTCAAAAATACGTATTAGTTTTCTCAGGATTCGAAAAAAATGATTGCATTTAAAAAGCATTGGCCCGAAATTTTGCGCCTACCCTCTTAAAGCATTCTCCAATAAATCAAATAAATATTGTTGAAAACCCGCGCGACACATATCAAGGATTTAATTTGTTCCGTTGTGCTAGACAAATCAGAAATTGTCTCTTCGGGGCATAAATTTCGCCATACTCGGTATATGCCGGAATCGGTCGAACTGTAAGAAATCCCCGCTTGTAATAGATAAAAATATGGTATTGTCTTTATAGTATACGCACCAATCGCTAAAAATTTTTCGTCCTAGGTTTAGAATTTGTTCAGTTTAGTTTTAATTTTTCTGTAATAATAGTGCAGGCTTTTAGTACGTTTGGCTAATATTAATTATTTTTAAAGACATTTCTAAAAATACTCTGGGGATTTTTCTATTTGGGTAGACAATGTTACCTTGTCTATTCTTAAGCTTCGCCCATGATTTTTTTGCAACCTGATTCGGGTGTATACTAGTTCGCTCCCGCGGTCGATTTTAATCTCCCACAGAAAAGGGGCATAGGTAAATTCGCTCTGGCCATGAAAGATATTTGAATAATGTCTTCTCAAACTTTGTATTTACCTATTAATACAACACTAGCATCATAGTTTAAAAATATGATGGTAGTGTTATTTCCAAAATTCCGAAGTGCGCGCAGGAAGTACATGACTCCGTGGAGGTGACAACCAACCAAAAAGAACAATTTTTATTGAAAAATGATCCGGTAAAAAATTTGTTGCTTTTTCTTGTGTATCTAACATTTTTAAGTAAATTAGAAACAATTTAGGTTGATGGAACTGTTAAATACTGCACTAAATTTTTTATTCAACTATTTACAGTTCACGGACTTGAAAATGGACACTATGTGCCGTTGGCATTCTTTTTGCTTTCACATAAGTTGACAAACTCATATGTGACTCCCTTAAATTGTTTAAAGACGTAGTGTCAAAAATTGAACTTAAATTTCTTTCAGAAGTGTTCACAACTGCGAAAATAAACGGATATAGGTTTCTTTTCGGATAATCATGCTGGAGAAAAATTCAAAAAGTTGATCTGGCTACTGAGTTTTCAAACGACAATGAAGTCGGACAATATCTTAGATATATGTTTGGTCTACCTTTCCTAGATCATTACAAGTAGGTGAGTGTTTTGCTTTAGACTTTAGTAAAATATTACCAGCACAACACCAAGCCGTACAACAATTTGCTGACTACTTGGTGGACAACTATATTTCTGAAGAGGCAGACTTCCCTCCTGAGATGTGGGCGGAAAACAGTTCATCACTTGAGCGTACAACCAATGCCTGTGAAAGTTTTCATTCTAAATTTAATTCGTTATTTTACAATCCGCACCCTAATATATTTCAATTTTTAGAAGTTTTAAAAGATATTCAAATTCACACATAAAAATACGAAATTCTGTGAAACCAAAAAAAGTGTACCGAAAAGTACTTCTAGAGCGTCAAAAATTTGTTGATCACAAAATAGCGGAATTAAAGCAAAATAAAATTAGTAGATTTGATTTTGTCAAATGTATTTCATTTAGATTTCTAGCGAAATAAATGCCTCGTTTTAATTTATATTTGTTTAACTTTGTAATTGTAGAGAATATCCCATATTATGTTAGTTTGGCACTTGTATTGCTTTCTTATTATACCTATCTATATTTTAGAATAGGCACAAAAATTATTTCAGTAATTTTTAAAAACAATTCAAAATTTCTAATATAATTTCTAAATAAATCACTAACATTTTTCAAAATACATAACACTAATGAGCGCGCTAATAACCGGCAAAATAACGCAAAAGGTGGAAAAAATATTAAGTTGTGAGATAAATAGAAATGAAACTAGTGGAGATGGGAAATTTAGCGATAGAACCTATAAATTTACATTTCATGTATTATTTCCCACCTTTAGACGTAATAGTTTGGAAACTACTGCTGTCACAGTGACAATTTTAGTTGACATTCTCCTCTGATACGTCTAAAGATGGGAAACAGTGAATATAATGTAAATTTATAGGTTTCTATCGCTAAATTTCTCATATTTACTAGTTTCATCTCTTTTATCTTACAACTTCATATGTTTTCCATCGTTTGCATTATTTTGCCGGTTATTAGCGCGCTTATCACTGTATTTAAATAAATATGTAACTACCAATGTTTGATATAATTTCTAATATAAAATACAAAAGCCGCAGTACCTACTTTCCTGGTGTCAATTTTCCTAGAACTTAATAGATAATTACTTAATCCGCTTGATCACGGAAGCGAACTAGGTTATGGTTTTCGGTGCGAACTAGTATGTATTTAAGAGGGTTTTTGACCTTGGGAGCGAACTAGTGTGTTCCGGTCTGATTCTTCTTTATAAGACTAACTCTTTTCTCTTGTTCCGTTGTGTTGTGAGTGAGGCTATCGAAAAAATGTTTGGCAGCATTACCACACAATTGCTTAAGGTGTTGTAAGTCCTTCTACTTTTCCAAACTATGTAATTGGTAACAAATCTGAAAGACAAAATAATGAAGAAAAGTGGATATAAATAAGAATTAATTATCTTGTTGGGTAAAAAAAAATTCTTGGGTTTCTGCCATATCATCAGTTGGTAAAATAGTGTTGGTACGAATAACATAAGTATCGAAAGGACTATTGCAGCCTATTCTAAATGAAATATATTACGGATAATTGGGTTCACAAACTATTTCTCGAATAGGTCTGATAGCAAATAGGTATTTTGTTTTAAAATTGAATGAAAGAAACTGAGTCCATTGGCGAATTAGGGACTGATCTACTTCTGTGACTTTAAATGGGCTGGTTTTGTGCGTCCTTCCTTAAATTCGTCCAGCCAATCTTCAACAGTGTCAGCTTTGAGCCGCTGGTTAATGAGTCCCTTACTCCTGTCACGCTCCAAGTATGAGTGACCCATTATTGGCAAAATCATTTTAATTTTGTCAAGTCGTCTTGTGAAAATAACTACGTAATGAATTAATTTAAAGAGGTTATAGTTTTTATTTTGACCTCCACAAGAGTACCAGAATATAAGTAAATCCCTTACACTGGAGTAACTGCAAAAATATAAAATTATGCAAAAACGAAATAACTTTGATCCCTTAACTGCGATATTTTCGAAGTAACAATAAAAGTAGAAATCGCCAGTAGACAGCACGTAAATATTAAAAGAATATAAAGTAAGTGTTCTTCTATAATACACGTCATTGGTTGTAATGTTTGATATAGGAAGGTTGGAAATCCATCGCTATTGATTCGAACTCTTTACTCTTCATATTTCTCTTTCTTGCTTCTTTTTTACGATCATAGAACACTTCGGCCTTTCTCAAATGCAATTTATGTTCTATTTTCTTCTTTCTTAGTTCTTGAAGAATTTTCGTGTCGTTTTCTGGCGTCGTTGAATCATTTTTATTTTTCAATAGTGCTGTTTTCACAGCAGTATATTTATCGCAACTACTGCAGGTATCGCTACGTGGAAATCCAAATTTAATGTTGAAGTTATTATTAAAAATTTTGCGATAAAACTCAAATGAAATATCTGGAAGAGATAAAGATTTAGTATACATATTGTACATTTTTCTTCTTGATGTCGGTAATGTACCTCGGTAAGTACACCACCTCGTGGCAGGTATAGACCATAAACCCCTTGCAAACCGCTAAGACTTGGTAATTTGGCAGAATTGATCTAAAATTGATGTATTAAATTGATACATCTATATATACCTATACCTAGAAAATTCTCTTTTTGCCCTGTTTCTTTAACATGGATAGTGAGCTTGCTCATTACGTTTTGAGACAACGCGGACGAAAAATGATAGATATCAATAATTTCAAATTTCAATTGCGAAAGACTCGCGAAAGAAAATTGCTTTTGTGGACAATTGCAATAAGAATAAGAAAATTAATATTTAAAAAACTGTTAGATACAAACCAAAGTATGTATATAAAATATGCATGTTACTTATGCATTATCCATTTCAGAAAAGTACGGTAATAATAAGTGTGAATCGGTGTAATATTGAAGATTGTGTTCTATTAAATACTACCTAAATAATATGGCTATTTTTTAAAGTTCTTTAAAGTTTGTTAAGAAATATTCTACATTTCTCGTGCTAGATATTTTTAATAAAAATTCGAAGTACCAGGATTGGAAAATCATTAAGTATAAACAACAATAAGTTCTGTGTAGAATTGCAATTGTACTCTTATAATAAGTTTTGCAATACCAGCTGAAGATCCAATTTCTTTTTTTTTACTTAATCATAGATGGATCATTTTTTATAATTCAATCAAGTATTTTTCCGAAAGTAAATTACAAAGGACTTATTAAAATTTTAAAACTAAAGAAGACTTTATTTTATGTAATAAAGTCCAGTTTTCTGAAAATGGCCAGTATGTGTTTATATTTCTATAATCATTTTAGTTGCGGAAAATATTCTGCACTGCGTCTTGGAACACAATCACGTAAGAGACCTTCGAAAACTACGCCGTCAAGTCATTAGCAACTCCTCAATTGGCTCAAGAGAGGCCATCAAAAATCATTCACCAAAAGATTGCAACGTCTTCTTTCAAAGAACACATGACAACAACAGACATCTCTTATATTCGGAGGAACATGAGCAACGATCGTTTTCGTTTTATGTCACCTATACATAAGACAATGGAAAAGCGCATCAAGTAATCCAACAGATGAATATAAAGACGGACCGCGATAAATGTTTTGTGTTGGATAAACATTCGCAACAAAATATTATTATTTTTAGCATATTACTTGGATGGTACAATACATGGAACATTTCAATACGTTCCAAAATTTTTCTTGCAAATATTTACCATCCATAGCTTATTAAATGGGCATTACTCAATTAATTCGTTACTTCGAAGAAGTTTGTGTCGTTTTAAGTCCACTAAAACTTGTGTCTGATTTCCTAATTGCTATTCAACCATCTGTGAACCGAATTGAGTGTTTATTTCACTTGACTCAAAGTTGATTTCGCAAAATCTAAATACTTGGTTTTGTAACCACTTACAAGGGGAGAGATTCCAACAGCAAGTGGCTGAACCACTTATTTAGCTATCTGGCTGGCCATTTTTGAACCCAAAACGAGTCGGCGATTGTTTTGTCAAAGATTTCATGCGGATATCCCTAACTTGCCTTAATTTATGAAAATGGCCGATAATATGGTAGAGAACTACGTAAGTAATGAGTCTCTTTTCCCACTAACTGTTTGGGCATCCCCGTCTAGCCATATACATTTCACCACAAATCCATGCGAATCCTTTCATTCCCATTTTTCCAACCATTTTTACCATTCTCATCCCAATATCCTCACTTTTGTATCTACGCTTCTACAGTACTAAACAATGGTATACATAAAATTGTAAATTTTACATGTACCTGTCCTGTTGTTTCAGGATAATGTGTCTTAGGCTTCAACTGTTTATAAAAGCCAGGAGACTGTACTTAAGCATTTTGATTCATTCTGTCATAATAAATAGATTTCTAATTGGTTAATAAGTTGAGGACTATTTCCGATATATACGGAAACAGCACATATTCATAAATATTTTCATTATAAAGTTCATTAACGAAAACCTATGCAACTGAATTTTCAGATTTCAAAACCGCTTAGATTGGTAAATTCACCGTGAAAAAAATCGATATTAATATCTATTTAAAAGTAATTTGCTTAAAACAATTTCTGAATTTAATAAATTACCACATAAACGAGAAGTGTGAACAGGTAACTAGCAATCTTTCGCATTAGAAACCAGCGAATTGGTGCAAAAATACTGGTGATCAGTTTACCTATCTGCGGTGATGAGTTTACCTATCTCCAAAGGATGCCGGTGATCAGTTTACTATATCTCGTAGGGTCTAATCATTTTATGGATGGCTATAAAGTGATGAGGTTTTACACGTCCAAAGTTGTGTACTGAATCGGCTTGGCTCATAGCTCTTGGCAAAATCCATTACTTCTACCATTTTTCTTTAGAGACACCTGAATGTAATGCCATGTAATGAAACAAAAGCTCTTATGCAAAATGGCACTTCAATACAGTTACTATAGTTATCAACCGTACGTTAAACTTTTACTTTATGAAAATATGCTTATCGCGAAACTTGGCATCATTTTTCTTTTTTTCGGCGTCTGCGGTTTTTTATTGAAGTCATGTACCTATACAAGACCAGTCAAGTAACTGTTCTGTTCATCTCTGCTCGACATTCTATTAAACTCCCTAATAATGGCGTTTCTTTCCAAAAGTCCAATCTTTTGAAAGCATTTGTACCGGGAGTGCTTACAATCTAGCCCTATTTCGTGTGAACTTAACCTCAATTGCTTCATAACATCGCATAACCTTCCACTACTTCTTTTTTCCTTCTTAAATCCCACGTTTAAGTTCTGCACAGTAAAACTACTGCACTACTTTTACCACTGTTGTCAGAATTTACAGTCCATGTCTTTCTTTCCAAAATACACAACTACTTATTTGAAGATGGACATAAACAAAACATACTCTAAACTAAATCTCATATTTGCACGTGTACGAGACGAATGACTAATCTTTTTAACAGTGCGTCGTATAGCGACTACGCAGAAAGACAAAGTTTTTGCAGTGTTTCACATGGACTTTCAGCTATCCCTGCTATTTAGCTTCATATGGCTATTGCATATTTTATACTTTTTTACTTGTATATGATGGTCTTTGTTCCTAGTACCTAATAATAATTAAATTTATGGTGTAGTTTGTTGTTTTCTTTATTCTCTATTTTTATTTCACTTTGCCGCTACTTGATTATACCTACCAATATACTAATTAATTATACATAGTTTATAGTTTCTCAAAAATAATAATTTTTTATTTTATTTTTATTTTTGTGGTAATTTTTGTTACTTTTTATTGATTTCGTTTTATTGATTATCTTATTATAAAAACCTCGATACAATAATTCAGTCTATTTTCAAAGCCTCTTCGTACATTTGCAAATACCTCCGGTGTCAATAATCGGCATTCTGTCATAATTCTTTATCGCAACTCTGAAAGATCTGCTGGCGGAGTAGTGTATATTTTTGATTTTAGGTATGGCCATAAAAAAACCAAAGGCAAAAAATCCAGTGATCTGGCCGGTCACTCTATTGGACCTCTTCTGCCAATCGAACGCTCTAAACTTATCTATCTATCGAACTTATCTAAACCGCGACCCCTTTTTTGCTAAAAAATTAGTTCGCGACACCCCTCCACTCATTTATTCAATATTATTTGACAGAAATAGCGTGCCTAATTTACAATTATCTGATGGTTTCTCAAATTTAATTTTACTTTACTGTTTAAGTTTAAATCAAAAACAATTATTTTATTTTAATACAATTATTTTAATGATTGCGATCTGTCCCACTAGTAATTAGTAGTAGGTACTTCTGCCAGAATAGCATTTACAATAAAAATAAATAATAAGAAGTCGACTGCACATTGTACACCGCGACATATTAGCTTGTGTCTACATCGCAAAACTCTTCCATGATAATCGCGAAAGCGCTCGCTACTAGATGGCACTCTGGAACGTTCTCGTAGCCTCGTTTTGGCTTTATATAAGCGGCGATGCGCAACGAAACCTCAGTTCGAATCCAAACAGCCTATGGTGGCGAACGCGGTGTTGAGTAATGAGTAAATATTTTACGACTTACGTATTCCCGTTAACGTAATTACGTCTACGATAAATTATAAATTATGGAAGTTTTTAAAAAGAAGTGCAGAACATCTACTCTGAAAGTGGCAGTAGCAGCAATAAAAAGAAAAACAGATTCTACATTGATGAATATCTTAAATATGGTTTTACCGTTATTTCCAATAAACCACAATGTGTTATTTGTGGACAAGTCTTGTCAAAAGAAAGCGTGAAGCCATCAAAGTTACTTCGACATTTAAATAGCAAACATCCAGATAAAAAAGACAAGCCCGTAGAATTCTTTGAAAGAAAGCTGAACGTCCTTCACAAACAGCAAGACAGTTTTCCCTTGGCAACCACTACTAATGAAAAAGCATTATTAGCAAGTTATAAAGTTGCTTATCGTGTTGCCAAAACTAGTAATCCGCACACAATTGCTGAAAATCTGATTTTTCCAGCAGCTGTTGAAATGGTACATATAATGTGTGGGGAAAGAGAGGCTGCAAAATTAAATACAATACCAAATAATACTCTCCAAAGAAGAATTAGTGATATGACAGAAGATATTCAAGCGCAAGTTGTGGAAAATCTTAATAAATGCACGTACTTCTCTCGTCAAATGGACGAATCCACAGATATATCTAACTGTGCGCAATTCATTACGTTTGTAAGATATGATACAAATAATGGCATTCAAGAAGATATTTTATTTTGTTCCCCATTGGAGACCAATACCACTGGAAAATGTTTACTCGACACTTTTGTAAAACGTACAAGTAAATATGATATTGACTGGGGTAAATGTATTGCTATATGCACAGATGGCGCTAAAGCTATGACAGGACATAAATCTGGTCTTGTCGTCAAAT